TCTCCAGACTGGCTCCAAAAATGCTCCCGTGTTTCAGCCAGCGCCATGCAGAAGCTTCCTGGGGTGGACCTCTGTTGGGCTGCCATTCAGCACCAGGGATGACCCCTCTGAAGCTCAGAATGAGCTCTGCCAAGGATGAGCCGCCCAACGGGCGAACTCTCCAGGCACGAATATTTGGAGTGACCTGTGTTGCCTCATTACGGGGGAAGAAATCAGAAACAAGTTGTGAGAAAGGTGAGGTATGTTGAGTGTAAGAAGCAGGTCGGTCTGGGGAAATTGGGCGAGGTGAAGATTCTCAGATGCAGGAGGAGGTGATCTTCTCAAGGCCTGATGGCTCATCGGGCGAGGAGTTTCCTGGGAATGGCAAAGAAGTACAAGTGGTGGGTGGGGCCATGAGGATGATGGATTCTCGGACACAGGCCAGACCCCCCCCCCGCCCCCACATGCTCTACCCCATGGTAAAGTGTCAGCAGAGATGGGAGAGCCAACTGAATGAGCAGCGTGTGGAGAGGAGCCCTGCTCACCTTCGGAAAGACTCTCCAGGGGGAATGGAGCCTAGGCATGTTCCTAAGGAGAGTTCCTGGAGGTAAACATTCAGTTGGGTTCAGGAAACTGCTCTGTGCATGCTCAGAGGTTCATGCTGGGAGGTCCGTACTGGGGAGCAATAAAGAACATTTTGCAAGGAAAACAGGCTACGATGGGTGATGGTTTGAAGAAGGAGCCTCGCTTCAGAACAACATATGAGTCCTAAGCCTTTCCCTTCATGGGCCAAGCTTGTTCTGCACTGCCATAAGAAGCTGCTTGAATGGGCAAAGCTTGGAGGCTGTTCTGCAAAACCAGCTCCTTCAACATCGTCGGCAGAGGCAGAGGAGAAGCATTGCCCAACTGCTTTAGGAGATGCACGGGCAGAAAATGCCTTCGTACTTCCAGGCCACCTCACCTGGGAATCACTCTGTTTCTGTGACGGTTCGGGATGCAGCTTCCATCTTGATTGGCATAAATCTGGGTCATTCTCCGTGGAGGTTTATGCTATGTGATGTGAACAAGATTTAGACTTTCTAGTATTCTTTGGGCCCATCACGAGAAGGCAAGTCTTACTGGAGAAGACAATCACGCTAGGGAAAGTTGAAGGCAGAAGAAGAAGAAAATCAACTAGCAGATGGATGAGTTCTATCAAGGAAGCCATGGCCAAAAACTTAGAAGAGCTAAGAAGGAATGTCCTGGACGGGACATTTTGGAGCACTCTCATTCATGTGGTCGCCATAAGTTGGAGAGGACTTGATGGCACATGACATTATTCTGGAAGAACATAAAAGCTGGTGGCATTAATTCTTTCCTTCAGCAAGCATGAGAACTGTGCTGCTATATGGATACAGATTAACTTTCTTGCATGATAATTCCATTCTCTTAGTTTCCAAAGAACTTTAACTTGGCTCAACATAGACCTGGTAAAAGAGCAGCCATCCAAGAAAGTATCTGTGATATTGCTCACACCAAAGCCTTAAGGGAAATATCCACCTATGTAGCAATTCTGAATGACTTCCTCACGAGGAAATAATGCCCTTGGCAAAATACACCTTCTGAAATGTTCACCAGAATCACAGCAATGCAATATTTGGGAGGGCTGTGCCACTTAACGTATTTGTGTCCGTTGCAATTTAGGATGCGGTCTTATGCATGTGCAGACAGCAAGTTTCCTGCAATTCCAGTATTTCTTCAAACTCGGATCTGTACCCAGATCTCTCCTGTGAAGACAACGTACCGTGACACACGCTTTTTGCAGCATCCAGCTCAACTTGCGACTGTGAAGTCCAGTGGAAATTGCACTCCTAGGCCAAAAATCAGATTCAACCGGAAAGTTTTGTCACTGCCTTGGTGTGTATTTGAGAAGAAATGGTAGGTATTGCTAGAAAGACTGGTGACTAATTCCTGTAAGACTGGACTAAGATTTTCCTTAAGTTGCACCAAATCCTATTACACTGGTTTCCCCATGAATAACTCGTGGGTGTGACAGAGAGCACACCATTCCCAGAGGAGAACCGGGCAGGAAGTTTTTCAGGGACTGCTTGCCAACGTTCCCTTTCTCCCATCTCTCTCTGTTCCTGGAGAATTCTCCAGGATCCTGAAAAATCCAGTATTTTGCAGTAGACAAATGCACAAATGGGAAGGAAGGGATTGCTCACTCCTGTTAGAAGGTGGATTGTAAACAAACAGTCAAAAGGGACTCTTTTCAAGATGGGCTTCAGCGTCAGGTGCAGAACGAGGCTGGTCTCTCAAAAGAGATGGATATGGCTGCGGAAGGGGGAACGGGGTGCCCCCTTCCCTCTCCACCTGGACCTATCTCAGAGGATAGTCCTCAGCAGTGCCATCTGGAGTGGAAGAAACCACTGCTTTTTCGGGGGGCTGCTTTTTCCACGTCATGCTAACCTGTCCCAGCAATCATAGAATCGTAGAATAGCAGGGCTGGAAAAGACCCACACGGCTGCTGGGTCCAGCTCCCTGCACAAGGCAGGACTCCAAGTCCAAGCATCCCTAACAGATGGGCTTCCAGCTGCACCTGGAAGGCCTCCAAGGGTGGAAGGGCCTGTCATTTCCCGAGGCCTTTGGTTCCACTGTCATCTTGCTCTAACATCCAGGATATTTCCTGATGTCCAGCCAGAATCTGGCATCCTGTGCTCTGAGACGATGGAGAAAAGAAACTGGTCCTCCTCTGGGTGGCAACCCATCAAGTTCCTGAAGAGCGCTATCCTACTTCCCCTCAGTCTTCCCAAGGCTGAACACACCCAGTCCTTTCCATCTCTTCGCAGGGCTTTCTTTCCAGCTCCTGGAACATCCTCTTTGCCTCCTCTGGACCCTTCCCAGCTCATCTGCCTCTCTCTACAACGGTGGTGCCCAGACCTGGGCGCAGGACTCCAGGTGAGGCCAAGCACACCTGAGCAGAGGGGAGCTAGTCCGTCATGGGAGATGGAAGGGGCCTTTCTATGAATGCAGCCCAGAGCAGCACCTGCCCATTTTGCAGCCGCATCACCTTGTTGGCTCATATCCAGCTCGGGATCCATAGCAATTCTCAGGTCCGTCTCACTCGGTACATTAAGCTGAGTTTCCCCCATCTTGTCACTATGCAAGGCGACGTTTGCCACTACGCTTGTCACCTGGCCATAGGCCTTCTTTTTCCCGAGTGTAGCACTTGGCATCTGTCCCTACCGAATTTCATTCTGTTGCTTTCAGCCCAATGCTCCAACTATCCCTTTCGATTTTCTTTCAGTCTTCCAGGGTATTAGGGGATTGGGCCTTTTTCCCTATATGCCCTCCCGCCCCCTGAGATCGGCAACAGAAGCCCTCCCCCGGGAACCCTCTTTGAAGGGGGAGACAGAGTACCCGGAGGAGGGCGTTCTCTGCGGTGGCGCCCCAACTATGGAATGCGCTCCCCAGAGAGGTCCGCCTGGTGCCGTCATTATATGCTTTTCGGTGCCATGTCAAGACCTTTTCATTTGACCAATATTTTAAAGTTAATTCATTTTAATGGTATATTTACTTATTTAATTCATTTTAACCATGTTATTTTATACTCGGTCACGGTGTAGCCAATTTATTTATTTGTTTAGGATTGGTGGGGTTTTAATGCTTGTAAACCACCCAGAGAGCCCTCTGGGCTATTGGGGTGGTATATGAATGCAATAAATAGATAAATAAATGAATCAGCCATCCCACCCAAATCGTGTCGCCTACAAATGTGACAAGCTTTCCCCACACCTCCTCATCCCAGTCAGGGATAAAAATGTTGAGGAGCACTGGGCCCAGGACCGAACCCCGCGGTTCCCCACTCGTGACCTCTCCCCAGTCTGAGAAGGTGCCACTGCTGGTCCAATTCTGTTGCCAACTCTGGTTCCACCTGGGTGTTGCTCCATCTAGCCTGCTTTTAGCTCGTCTGCCGATCAGGGCATCATGAAGAACTTTGTCAAAAGCTTTGCTGCCATGATGCATTGGTTGGAGTGGACTCAAAAAATCCTCGGGGCCCCTTCTCCCCGCTCAGTTCTCTTTCAGGTATCCCAGATAATTCTGTGAGAAGAACCAGGTCCCCTGAAAAAGATCAGGAGAGCCAGTTGTTAAGCTGGGTTTTCACAATCCCCAGGGGCACCTCACAGGGACATGCTCATGACCACCCACCGTGGGCACAACAACCCCGACAAGAACCCATGGGTTGTATGGGTGGTTTGTTGCCCATGCACAAGCCAGCCTGGGGAAATCAGCCTGTGCGTTCACCCAACACAAACACCCATCATGGGCGCTGTGTGTTGTGTGAACCCAGTTGTATCCGAACTGTGGGGCAGGGGTGCAGTCATTGCTCACCTGGGAGTCCCGTGCAGAATGAGGGGAGGGGAGGGGAGGGGAGGGGAGGGGGCAACTCTGGGGAAGGGAGTTGCCACGCTTTCTGGTTAATGCTGCAACGAAGGTTTGCATGGGTTCTGGAGTGTCCTTCCAGGAAAGGAGAGACAGCAGCAGCTTAGGAAGGAAGCCAGCTTTCTCAATGCAAACGCAATGCAAACTCTCACACAGGGAACTCCAGCATTAAATTTAAGGATGCACATATTCTTTCGAATTACCTACCCATCACTTGGAATGTAATGCAAGGTGAGCATTAGTGGGTTTCCCACATCCTTTTCAGAGCTAAATGACTGATATTACGACATTGGGAAGATCAACGGCCTCCTGCAATTACACTGGGCGGCGGATTCAATGCAACTTTCAATTTTTGCAAGAGTGGCTTTTAGATGGATAAATATGGATATTTGGAATGGCTTTGCTGAAGTCTATGCATAACTATTTTTGATGTTCCATTACGCACTAATGCTTAGGGATCTGTAATAGATACACGTAACCAAAGTATGGATCTTTTTAAACCTTGCTCAAAAATTGTAATATTTTAGTTTGTCTTGTTTCCTTTTCTTCTCTAATGGTACCATTTGATTTTGGCTTTGTATTGCGTGATAAACATATATTTTTAAAAAAGCACAGTTGATTCCAGCAGACATCTTATGCCCCACCACCTGGGGTTTCTTCCTGCCAAGACCCTTCCACCAAAAGGCAGAGGGTCCCACCTCCAAATATTAACCCCTGACTCACCAGCACTGTCCACAGCACTTACTGGGACTCACTGCTTGTGGTAGGTTCTCTTTTGTTGCCGAAACTTGCATAGATTGCGTCTTTACATGCAATTTACTGGCAGGCCTTGTTTTTTTTTGGCCACGTTCCCTTTACCTTTTTGGTGCCCTGTCTTCCCCAAGCGTGAGCTTAGGTGTGCAGATGTGGTTGGGAAAGACTTAGAAATCATTTTTCTGAGCAAGGCAACACTTCCATTTTTTATTCCAAAAGGCCCTGCTGGCAGGAATATAGTGTAAAAATCATTGGAAAAACTAAAAGGCATCGATACATATTGGAATATACACTTTGTACAAAAAATTACACATCGTTAGCCATTAAAATTAGGTTTTGTTCGAGGTTCTGATTCTGAGACGGAAGTCTCAATAATTCATAGGTCCTGGGATTTGAACGTTGAGCCCACCGTAGTCCAACATGTACATGGGCCATTGCTGGGGAGAAAAGAGAAGAAACACAATTTTAACAAACATCCCTCAATGCCAGTGCAGAAGACCCTCAAGATCAAACGAGGGCTCTGGGGCTGAGGAGTTATCCTGATTGAATTATGCTTCGAGCCCGTTCTTCAGGATAATTTGAGATATTTGAAGAGGTGGAGAAAAGTATTTATTATATTTATTTAAAACTTTTCTATACCGACCTTTCGCAAATGTCTCGGGACAGTTTACAACATTGATTAAAATAAAAAATAAAATAAGAGAGTAAAAATATCACCACATCCAGTATTCGGTGTAAAACTACAAATTAAAACAATTTAACAATTAAAATATTGGGAGAATAAAAAGGTTTTCTCCTGGCGCCAAAAGGAACAAAGTGTTGGCACCGGGCGAACCTCTCTGGGGAGCATATTCCAGAGGTGGGGCGCCACTGCAGAGAAAGCCCTCCTGATCTCTTTCAAGGATGGCTCCCAGAGGAGATCTTCTGCCTCAGATCCCAAGGGATCTCAAGTAGGAAATAAGCAAGGCATCTAAAGACTTGTTTACCAAGTCTTACCATTTCCCTATAGCCAAAAGACTAACAAAAATAACAGAACCAAGGAATTCCACAAATTCCAGTGCTTTCTATGTTGGGACCCATCTAGGCATCCTTTTTCTAGCCAGTTACGTCAGAGCAAAACACTTTTCCTCAAGGATTTTTTATCGAGTAGGACAACTCTGTCTCCCTGGGGCCAGTCCTACACTGGGAAGAGTGGGGCAGCTCCAAACTGAAGGACAGCGTTGTGTGTGCCGGTTGCGTGCCCCTTGCACTCCCTAAAACAGTCTCCCCGTCCCCCCACCGGTGTTGATGTGGGATGGCCCATTGCATTCGCTCCTTTGGCAGAGCTGTCCCAATCCGTTTTACATCCGAGTAGGAGTATATGCATTGTTTCTCCATGCATCTCAGACTAGGCCATACCACTGCAGAGGGCAGGGCCACCATGCAGGGAAACGGCAGGCTCGCAAAGACTAGAGTCATAGAAGAGTAGAGCTGGAAGGGGCCATGAAGGCCATTGGGACCAGGCCCTGCTGCCAGTCAGTCAGGAGAAACGCTTGCGGCTGGCGTCTCCCTGTCACACGCGTCGTCTGCAAACAGGGAACGGCGTTGGTATGGAGCTGCGCTGTGCCATGCAGGGCTCCCCACGGCAGTCCGACATGGTACAGTCCAGGCGGCGCATAACCCGCCCATCCACCCCCTCAGCAAGGCCGTGGCCATTGTGAGCCTCTTTACCACAAGCGAGAGCTGATTGGTTGATGATGCGGACTCCAGGTTTGAAGACGAGGAGGAGGACGAGGAGGAGGAGGAAGAGACCGAATTCCCTTCCGAGATCCTCTTCCGCTTCCGTTTAGGAACGGCGCCGTCGTTTTCTAGAGATGCCCAAGGAGAAAGATGGGTTGGCCGTGCAACAGTTCCTTCCCCCTTGCAACACCCTCGTAGCCTGTGCCCAGCCGTCTTCCTCTGCTAAACCTCCAGAGCCCAGGCTGAGCGCAAGCTGTTGGGGGTTAGGAAGAATCCAGTGCCCCTTAACATTCCTGCCCCCGCCAGACACGCACCGCTTCACAAAGGCCCGGTGGAGATCCCTCCAAGGGCAGCGCCTCCAGTCTTTCAGCGCAACCCTAAATATCTTCCTTCAAGCGTCACTCCGAATGAGTGACGTGGGACTTGGCACCTTGTATGTCTCCCCTGGCTCATTTTGCTTGGGTACAGGCCCCTTCCAGCCCAATGGGGCTGGCACCCAACCATATTCCAGCTGGGGTGGCCATGTCTCCAGTCCAAACCCTGAAGGGCTGGTAGCGGAAAGTCCCGCCTCGCACAAGCTGCCCAGGCCAAGCTCAGTTCAAGAAAGGAGCTCCCAGAAAGAGAGCAGAGGGGCCTTGAAACTGGGCTGGAAGGTGGGCATGGAGAGCCTTTGCCAGCATCTGGGCTGCCCTGCCTTGCCCTGCGTCCTGCCCTGCTGCCCCCTGCCCCGTTATCCTGTCCAAGGCACCTCCACCTCTGCCTGTCCTGCTGGTTCTCGACCTGGGCTTGTTCCTGATCACGTCCTCCTCCTGCCCTCCTGCATCCTTCTGCTTCCTGGCCTCGGCCTGCACCATGCCGATGACTCGGCCTTTCCACGAAATGGCCAAATAAATGCTATATCATTTATGTATCAGGACAAAACAACCTGACCTCTCCTGATCCTGCTTCCTGCTATGCCTCCTGTATCTTGCTGTATCTCCTGCATCTCGCTGTCTCCTGCCTCTCCACACTGCCTCAGCCGCACAGGTTCTCCTGCCTGCTGTCGGGCCAGCACCGTCCTGGACCGCACCTGCCTTTCCGCATTGCCTTGCTGCGGTGCCTGCCTCTTGCCTGACTTCTGTCCTGCCTTGCCCTTGTGTCCTGCCTCACCATATTGCCTCAGCAACGCAGGGCTTCCTGTACGCGGCAGCCCAGCCCCTGCCCGCCCCTTGCTGCATTTTGTCCCTGTTGTCTCAGGTATCCTGCCGTGCCGTGTCTCCCGCCCCGTTTTCCTGTCCAAGGCACCTCCACCTCTGCCTGTCCTGCTGGTTCTCGACCTGGGCTTGTTCCTGACCACGTCCTCCTCCTGCATCTTTCTGCTTCCTGGCCTCGGCCTGCACCATGACTACGATTCGGACTTCCCATGAGGCTTTGCTGGTGGACTCCCTTTCCTGAAATTCCGCTGCCCTGGTCCCAGTGCCTCCACTGCTCTTGTCTTGCCTCGTCTCCGGCCACCCATGTCCCAGCCTTGTCCATTAATGGTTAGCAACTGGGCTTAAGGGCTGTCACGTGAGTAGTCCACCCCAAGTCCTACCGAAAGAAAAATCAGCTTTTGGGGAGCGTGCTGATTATCAGGAGAAAAGCGGCAGGTGAGAGACGAGCTCTTCAAAAATTATTTCTTTCCCTCTGGCAGGACTTTCCATTCGGGATCCCAGCCCCAGCAGTGGCTGCCACCTAGATCGGCCTTCTCCGCCATGGCGCCTTCCAGTGGCGTTACACTACAGCTCCCATCATCCCCAGCCAGGCTGGCGTTTCCTGGCCAGCGACAACATGTGGCAACCTCAGGTGGCTGCTGGGCCTTGGAGTCCCTCACCCAGGCTCCCAGCAATCGGGCAGCTATTTCCCCACGGTGCCCTTGGCGTTCCCTCCATGGGCCCACAGAGCGTCTGCACTTCCTGCAATGCTCCAGGCAGGAGATCAAGATGGCAGCTCCCAGCCACTGGCACGGCCTGGGATGTCGCAGTTGCTTTCCCACACCGCCAGACGCACCCAACAGGAACCAGATAAACCCAACAGAGACACGCGTGCTGGGTGCAGAGGAGTACTGCAACCCGGGCTCTTTTTGTGTTCTTCTGAGCAGCAACCAGCCGTCTTCCCCTGTCTGCTTTTGAACTTCCCCTCTTGCTCCACTTCTCCACTTACCTGGCTGTTTGGCCTCCGTACCACGGTCTGCAAACGGCCTGCATTAGGGAAAAAAATCAACTGATTAATCGAGAAAAAGCTGTGATTTTTATGATGCAACACTGAGGGAGTTTTCAAAAGAATCTGAACTCAGCGTTGTTTTTGGAGAGGGAACAATGAAGTTACGATGCTGCACTGAAACATCTCCAAAAGCGATGATGAGCCCCTGAGCAAAGGCTGATGGCCATCAGACGCAGAGTGGATGGAAGGGTAGCGAGATCTTTGCTTCCTCTCCTCCAAACCTGCATCTTCCACTCGATGGGTTTTTTGGTCCAGCTTGCTGGAGCATCGCGGGGAAGAAAGATGGCTGGAGGGACAGCCTTCCTCACTTCTCCGAGGGCACTTTCCCAACCTTGGAGAGCAGCTGGAGCAGTTTTTCCACCCCCCAGTAGGTGGCAGGTCGTTGGAGCGCTGAGGTCACAGCATCACCTCCAACCTCAGAGCTCAGAATCCAAAATATCCCACGACCCCTCAGAGGCTGTGTAGAAGCTAACTTCTTTTTTTTTTAAATAAGTTTTATTCTTAATATATACCTAACCAAAAAAAAAAAAAAACCTAAAAAGCATCAATCATCAGAAACATCAGACCTGCTGGGTCAGCTCCCCACATTTTTCTTTCTATGTTAAACTATAAACATATTTAAGACTATGCAAAGTCCCGTTTCTCTAGCCGATGATAAAAAGAGTCCCAGGTTTGATAGAAGTCTGTACTTCTTTCTCCTTCAGAGACAATAGAAGCTAACTTCTACAAACATGTCATGCAAACAGAGCAGGGCCTTCCACCACAGGGGTGGGAATCATGTTTCCTCAAGATGTTGCTGGACTACAAAATCTCATCACCACGGACTGCTTGCTGTGCAGGCTGGGCCTGATGGGAGTTGGAGTCCCATGACATCTGAAGTCCAATCTGACCAGGTGGTAGTGCTTGGGGAAATGTCGCACCTGCTCAGAGTGGACTGGAACCTTGGCAAAGGACAGTTTCCTCTATAAAGAGATACTTGCTATCTATCCCTCTATTAAATTTCAAATCTGTTCAAAAAGGAACAGCTGAACAGTGAAAGGCTAAGATGCCAGTGAACAGTTAAAAATACAAAATGCAAAAGAAATTTTTTAAAGAACAGCATGCGCTATGCTGCAAACCCCGCCTTGTAATCGACAAAGCGGCCACCAAAATCTAGAACTGGATCTCTGGCCAGCCTGGGAGGGGAAGAAACATCTTGTCTGGTGCCTAAACGATAACGATGGAAGTGCTGAGCAAACATCTTTGGGGGGCCTATGCCATTTTTTAATTACTACTACTACTACTGCTGCACATTGCATTTATCTCTCTCTTTCCCCCCTTATGAAGAACTCAGGGGAGCTCTCACCTCTCCATTTTATCCTCCCAACAACAACCCTGCAAGGTAGGTCAGGCTGAGAGGGAACGACTGGCCCAAAGTCAGCCAGGGAGCTTCACGGCCGAGCAGGGACTCGAACTGGGATCTCCCGGGTCCCCAGTCGAACGCTCTCCCGACTACACCACTCCGGCGGTCACTGTTCCCCCCACTGAGATGGTCCTGAGGTGGGCTCGCCACTGAGAAGCGATCAGGCCAGCTCTTCCCGTTCTGGGCTCCTCCAGATGTGCTGGGATGCAGCCCCCAACACATCTGTCCAACACGGAGAAAGCTGCGTGTTCCATGATCCTTCCGACGAAGCCTGTGGCTCGACACCCGTGGACACCAGTGGGGGCATGGGAGGAGACAGGCGCGCTTACTGGAACTGGCTGGTCACCACCATCCGGATGCGGTCCCTGGCTTTGAGGATCTTCTCCAGCCGGTGGATGTCGTAGGTGTTGGGGTTCCGGAAAGGGACGTCGTCGGGCAGGCCGGTCACTTCGATGGCGTCAGGCGTGTCCCGGATCAATTTATATGGCACCAGAACGGGCCGGTTCAAGCCCAGAGCCTCTCCTGAAAGAAGATCCCAAATCGTACGGGGAATTCTTTGATTTGCAGCATGGACACCAGTGGGCAGGCCCTGGATCACGGACCTGACGAGTCCGTCTGCCTTCCTCAACCCGGCACCCTTCTAACACGTCAGGCTACAATCGCCATCACCCCAAGCCAGCACACCTCCCCTAGCCTGCTGGGTGTGGATGATGGGAGCCGTGGGCAACCTCCTCAGGAGGTGTACAAATGGCCGCCAGTGCATGGCCCTTGCGCTCTTGCGATCTTCTTCAAGGAATTCAGAGCAGGGACTCGTCTTGAACCCCCAAATCCATCTCAGGGCCCACTTCCTGACGTTATATAGATATTTTTGTGACCTAGCATGGTGGGCCCAAGAGTGGGCCCCGACCCATAAGAATCACAGAACTTCAGAGCAGGAAGGGACTGCCGAGTTCTCCAAGTCCAACGCTCTGCCCTGTGCAGGATTTAATTCAACAACAACAACAACAACACTTATATACCACTCTGTAGCACATGGCTTCTCTGGACAGTTTACACATTTTAAAAACACATAAACAATCAACAAAATAATCATATTTAGGTAAAACAGTAAGACAATAAAACCAATATAAAAGGATCAACAACTCACAGCAACTATAATAAAACTAACATACGGCAGAGCAGCCGCCGCCACCACCACCATCACAACAACATCATTAATAATATAACAACAATCCTTATCTATTAAAAAGTTTTGAAAATAAAAAGTTTTATTTATTAGATTGACATCCTGCCTTTTTCTCAAAGTGGCCTGCGTCATTCTTTCCTGCCTACTCCCCATCTTATCCCCACAACAACAACCCTGTGGGGTAGGCTGGGCTGAGAGTCTGTAACCGGCCCAAAGTCACCCAGTTGGCTCCATGGCCAAGCGGGGAATTGAGCCCGGGTCTCCTGAGTCCCAGTCCTGCATTCTTAACCACTACCCCACACTGTCTCCCCCCTATCCAAGTGCTCTCAAAAACCTGGAACCAGCACTGGTCATCATATCAGGCAGAATTTGCTGATTTAAGCAGAGAAAACGTTCAATTTACATTGCCTGGGTTCAGGCACATGGTAACCCCCACACGAGAGTATGGATGGGTTGCTGTTGAACCACAGGTTATCGTGCTGTCTGAACTAGCTATGGCTTGAGAAGCCCTGGATTGCGGCTGGGTGTGAGCTGTTCTCTCAGCTGCATCAGTGATGATGGCTTATCACCACGGATACCACTTAGGAGCTCTGGAGGCCTCTCGTGGACCCACAAGCTGCAGGTTGCGCACCCCTGTTCTAGCCCCCTTGCCCCAGAGAGCTCCAGCACCACACCCAGAGGAGACGACTGACCGTATTTTTCATTAAAGAGCTCTTTCACTTGTTCCCGGAGAATCACCTTCTCCCCCAACCGGTTGGCATCATCCTCATCTGCAGAAAGAGAATACACAGAACCACGACATGAGCGCCACTTTCTGTGCCATCCCTGGCCACTGCGAGTACAGATGGCACCATTGCAAAAATGAAGCTTAGAATGGTTACTCCCCAGGTAGTCCTTACACAAACACAGAATTCCAGTTTTAAAAGAATTTTTAAGGCACACACATCTTTTACTTGCACTAGGATTCACTGGCACACCCATTAGATCGTTGGACCCAGGCCGGGAAGTGCAGAGTTCCAATCTTCAGTGGTGGCCCCAGAGCTGTGGAACCCCATTCCATGACCTGCGAATCCAGCGTCAGGCCTGAATCCAGGCCTGAATCCAGCTTCAGGCATGGCTCCTGACAGTGACATGGGATATTCGCAACCCGACAGTTTGGGATTCGCTGCTTTTGCAGTTTTCTGTCTCCTAAAAGCAAGAGCCATGCTCTGAGTTACACTGTGGTGCTGCATGAGGGGATCTTCCCGTGATGCCATTTTCCCAGTCTAAATCTTATATTCCCAGCAAAGTATGATGCAGAGACAGGCGGCATTTAGATCAGGAAAAAAGCACGGGAACAGAGGTGGATAAAAGCAATCCTGCTTTCCGCGCCGCTGCTTCGACTGGAAATGCACCCATCAGGGTAACACATCGTTTGTCCCCGCTTCTCCCACAAAGCATGCGCACCAAGGAGAAGCTGCAAAAGCACCTTTTGAGGCACTGCTTTTCTGAAAAGAGCCCCCTGCCTCAAAATTAGCAACGGAATGTGAGGACGGACAACTGTGCCGGCTGAATCTTTGAAAACCGGTGGTGTTTCCCAGACTTAAAGCTTCTTAAGAGCAGGTCTAAAGTTCTAAAAGTGCAGCAACGGGGAGGTTAACTCAAAGCAGGAAAAGAGGGAGAAGCAAAGTGCAAAACCCACTTGCAAATATTTCTGGAAAGTCTGAAACTGCTGCAGTGCAGTTTGCCTTGCAGAACACGGCGCTTCCGTTTGGGCTGACACGAAAATGGCATTGCTGAGGCCAAGGGCTCAGGGATCGGCCCCAGCCCGTGGCAGCAAAGCTCCTCCGCCTCGGCGCCACTGAACGGAGCAAGCACTCCAGTGGAAAGATTTCTGGAAGGAAAGGAGGACAGGGCCAAATTCTGAGTGGAGACGTTGCGCAGGGCAGAGGAAGAGGGCAGAGGGCAGCGGGCACGCCCTGTGGAGAACTGCGGGGTGGCACTAGCCCTGAACGGGAGCAAGTGGGTTAAAACCAAGCGTGGGGTGGGAAGGAGAGAGTGGGGCCAGGCTGGGAAGCCGGGCTGGATTGTGCTTTGTGAAATCACCCCGTTCCCCTGCCCCTGCACTTCCCCCAGCCAAACCCCCCTCCAAACCAGCTCACTACAAGAAAAGGACAAGTATTTCCCACCACCCCACATACCAGTGGGGCTAATGGGAACCGATGCAGAAATCGGCCCTGGGGGACATGGTAGCACCAGTCCACCACACCCCCCCCCCCCGGCCCTGCCACGCATCTGGTCTTGGAATTCTGAGATCTGCGTTTAAGGGGGGGAAGGGGGTCCCCGCATGCCCGGTCTGGGAGGGCTGCTTGGAGGGCCAAATGGCCTGGCGGGGCCTTCCCTAAGTTCGTCCCCCCCACGGTTTCGAGGAACGGCAAGTCCAGGCACTTCCCCATCTCTGCCAACACTGCCAAGCTGCCAGATTCCCAGGCATGGGGCTGACAGGGTGGAGAGGACGGGAGAAAAGGGGGCCAGCCTGCCTGGGGCAAAGGGGCCCAACTACCCCATCCTTGCCCAGCCTCGCACCGCTGGTGCTCAGTCCAACAGGTGCGGTGTGCAGGTGGTAGCAGACAATGAATGAATGCAGGGCTCCAGCACAGAGCTCCGTCTCAGACAGCGGGGGGCATGAGGAGCTGCCCCCAAACGCTCTGAAGAGATGGCACATCCATCCGGAGATGCTCTTCTGTTGGTTGGGGTGCAAAGGCCCTGGCCAGGGTTCTAGCCAGCCAGCCAGCCAGCCAGCCAGGTCCTTTTCCAGGATACTCCATTGCATTTCCCCACCCCACATGCACGACTGAGCATGCTCAGTTCTCACACAACTGTTTGGGTGCTCTCGCAGTTGCGGCTGTGCACATCTTGGGGCTTCTTCGCACTTTTCCTCTTCGCTGCTCTTTTGGCACCACGCGCAACGGTACTCAGAGCCCGAATGCCGGCAACTGAGGGGTGGATACGCGGTTGCTAGCCAGGCAACTGGTGAAGTAACGTCACCTGAGAGAGGAACTCCAGGGGTTTAGGCAGGAGAGCTGATTGAACAGGTGCATTGGCGTGGCCTGAGAAACGGAAACACTTCTTGGCGCTCCTGCTCCAGAATCGTGGGTGACATTTGGCAGACTCCAGCTAAAAGGCCTCCCGAGGAACAGTGTGCTTCTCAGTTCTTTAACTGTGTCTTTCTCACGCGGCGGTTCCACTTTACATTGTGTGTGTGCGCGCACACATTTTATGCCCACAACAACCCCATAAGCTGAAATGGCTGCACTCCGTGAGCCCCTGGCCCAAGAAGAGACTGGGATTAAGATCCCCCCAGTACAGCTGCAATACTCAGCCCGCCCCTGCATCACACACCTGGGCCGCACCCCATTGTCTCTCCAGAAGGTGTGGGAAGAAGGAACGGGGTCAGAAGCCTGCCGAATGATAGAAGCATAGAAGAGCAGAGTTGGACGGGGCCTGAAGGCCACGGGTCCAGCCCGCTGCTGTTGCAGGACATCACGTGACATCATCCCGCTCAGGCGCTGTCCAAACGCTTTCTGAATGACCTAGCAAGGCAGAGTTCCCACATCACTGCTTTGATCCATGTGCTAAATTGCTCGGAGAGCCAACACTTCCAGCAAAGGCTCTTGTGCTGCTCCAACCTGCTGGCATCAAGCACAGCCAGAGGAGAAAGGACCCGCTGAGAAAGGCTTCCAGCCCCGCCAGCCCCACAACACCTGGGGCTGTTCCTACCTGCATGCAGCCACCATACCTTTGGCTGCCTAAATGGCTGGCTGTTTCCTGCCCTGTGGGAGCTCCCCAGATCCGTTCCCTGCACCAGACCCCTCATTCCGTGCCCTGTGTGCCGATGTTGTTCTCCAGGCGGCCACGGCTTGTCTGGCAACGGCGGCAGGGGCACTGCGGGCCACGCCAAATTCCCTTCTGCAGCGTCCCAAAGTGGTCAACCTGTGGCGGCATCGTGGTGGAAATGGCTCAGATCCAGCTGCTGCCAGGCACAGCTGGAAGGGCAAGGCTGGAGGGGGGGAACTATCCCGGCACTGCCCCTACCTAAACATAAACAAACCATCTCTCCCTGCATAGCATGGTCCCAATCCAACTTTCTCCCTTTGCACTGTGACTATGTAGCAATTTCTTGCATGAACGGACCTTCTACCTAGTCTGGTCCCTGGATGTGAGCCACTGGGGGGACTTGAGCTGGCACCTTCTCTCACCCTAGCCTACCTCAAAGGGTTGTTATGAGGATAAAAAGGGAGAGGGGAGGAGCCCCTCCCTTTGCAACACTTTCCTGCCTAACGAAAATGGAGATTATTTAAATGAGGGATGGAGGAGCTGCAGCTTCTCCAGATATGGCTGGACTCCAACCTGCCTTAGCTCCAGCACACATGGCCAATGGGCAGGGATGATGGGAGTTGAATCCCTAACATCTGGAGGGCGACGACTGCCCCCCAAACAAATGTGTACAACACAGCCGTAGTGCAGCTGTGGAGTACACAAGAAAGGATGCGCACCCGCAATCAGACTTTGTGGGTTCTCTAGGAGCCGTTCCGTTTCTCGGCAACGCAAAGGGAAGGGTGCACGAATTTCTTGTCTGCTACCACCTACGACACGGCCTCTGAGCGACATACCGTTCAAAGCAGCGTAAGCCTTTTCCAAGGTGGATATCCGTCTAGGGGCTATGAGACATGACGTGGAAAGAAAAGAGAGAAGGGTGAGTGAGGAAGCGAGGTCCTCAACTTTCGCGCAAGTACGACAGCCGGAAATCCAGGGGCGAGGCACAAAAGATGCACACCCGGAGCAGCTTCTGGGGTTGGAGCTACACAGCACAGCGGGAGGCCTGCGATCAGGGTCGCAGCCCCAGGCAGGGTTAGACTGAGAAAAGGTGGTCCTCTTTCTGTCTAAACTTAACGTTTAAGGTTGAGCCCGAATTGCACCAAAGGCTGGAAGAAGCATCTCTGCTCAGGGCACAGGGGCTGACAGTCTGAAGTCCTTCCAAGGGCCATTCAGATGGGGCACCGCTCAGTGATGGAGCACGTGCTTCAAGAACCCCGAAGCAAACCCCCGACACCTCCAGGCAGACCTGGCCAAAGCCCTGGCGAGCTGTTAGCTGCCATTCAGTGTTGACAGCACCGGATTAGACAGACCAATGGCTTCACCGAGGGGCAGGACAGTTTCTATGCCCCCAACTGCGTCAGCTTTTAAATCAAATGCAGAACCATGAGGACTAGAATCCCACTTCATTTTTAGGAGAAAAGCTCAATGGTAGAGCACTTGCTCTGCATGCAGAAGGTCCCAAGTTGCACGGGGATCCTGAGGAGACCCTCATGGCTGCCAGCCGCTTCAGAGCTAATGAGACCTACCCCTGGCGATTCATCTGTCTCAGCTGCTGATCCTATTTGTGTATGCACACTTCAAGGGCCAAAGGACACCCGGGGGGAGAAAAATGCTTAATCCTGTATTTGCACACCCTGAATTTGAAAGGGCTACCTGAAGAACTTGATCGTGAGTTTTGCATTCACAAATCTGTTCCATCCCTTGTCTGTTATCACTCTGCCTTCTTTTAAATGCACAACTGCTTGCATTTAAAGACACGCTTATTCCTTCTGCAAGACAACACTTTTTCTACACAGGCTGTTTCAGAGCTGCCAAGAGTCTTGCAGATTTTGCAAAAGTGCAAAAGCTAGAGCATTCTGGGTTCCAGTCCATGTGCTGATTTGGGAAGGGAGAATCAATGCAGGCCAAACCAAAGCCCCTCCAGCTCTGCCACTAAGTGACAGTATTTCAGGTCTGCTTGTTTCTCTGGGCAGTTCGTTAGCATCTGTAGCAGCACCTGGAATTTTCAGCGGCTTCTGCTGGAAGTACCCGAACCCCAATCCTGCCATGCACTCACTGATTTATCCCAAAAATATTGCATCCCCCTCTTGATTTGCAAATCCATATCTCTGGAAAGGGGTTCATGAATATAACAAATGAATAAGCAGGGAAACGCTGCCCTTTAAAAGAGCGAGCTTCAAGTGTGTGCGCGTGTGAGGCTTAGGTTCCTAGAGGAAACTATTTTTATTTTGCTAATACTCTCACCTGTGCAAACCATCTCACCAGGAGCTACAATAAGGGGCCAATCCTGCACGAGCACGCATGCTTGTGGAACCAGACATACAGCCTGGCCAATTTCATTAATTGGAGAAAAAGGAATGATGGATCAGCATGGAAAGGCTCCTGAGGATTGCAACAGACGGGCAGCGGGGTGTACTTTCAAGCACAATGGACAAACAAGATCTGTTCAACTCGATTGCTTCCTTGGGCCCAAGGACTTCCCCAAATTATCCTACTAGCCAGTCAACAAAAACTCATAGCCGTTGTCTCCAGGATCGACTTAGAGGAGGAAAAGCTGGCCGAGTCTGAGGCTACCGACACCACGCCTGCTCAATGAGGGCTAGAAACCTGGTATGTCACACGCCACCGGGTCAAGCACGCAGCTGAGGCAGAGTCTGCCTTTCTGGAGCAAGTGCTGGGGGACTGTGAGACTTTGGCCCACCTCCAAGACTGGCTGCTGCAGTTCTTCCCTTGGAGCTCACCTGGGCAAGCCTCCTCATCAGGGCCGGAACAGGGCAACACTGGTCGGTTGCTTTGGCCTGGTCTGCTCCAACCGGCAGCAACCCTTGGAGGTCTTCCACATAAAAGGGGCTTTTCCATCGCCCTGACATTGACGAGCCCAAGTGGAAACGATTCCCCATTCTGTTCTGGGGACCCACGCACCAGGTGGCCCCAACCAGGGCTCTGTGTGGGCGGAATGCTTTGCACACGCACAGCTCGCCCCCCGAACAGCCGAGCGGAGCCGGGGCAGAGCTGGGCAAACTTCTCCTAGCAGGAATTTCTCCTTCATGCCTCATGGACCTTTTCTTTTCCGGAAGAGCTCTAGGCTTCCGCCGCTATCCCTGTTTTGCCCTCACCCCCGTCAGGCAGGCCGAACGCCAAGCTTCCAGGGTGCCCAGGCGTTCCCCCCAATGCCCCCAAAGGCCCCTGATGCCTCTCCCCAGAACCTTTCAGACTCTGAGTCCAGAGCCAGGTCTCCAGCTTAGCAAGTCCACTCTCCTATGAGGAGACCGACTAAAGTCCTCCTTCTTGGGTCTTGCCCAGACCTGTCTGCGCTCATCCACGCCTCTGCTTCTTCAGATTTGTCCAGTTTGCTCTTCCAGAGCGCCACCTCTGCCTAGTTATAAAATTTGCATCATTTACAAAGCGTTCTACATCTGAAAAAAGACTCCTGCATGATGCGCGTTGGGCGAGGGAATGAGAATGCAAAGAATACGACTGTTTGCTATCAAATTAGAACAAGAGATCGTCCTTACTCGGGGAAAGCAACATCCTCCGCAAGCGCGGGAGCAATGCTGGTGTCTGCCCATCATCAGCTAATTCCACAGAGAAGGAGCTGGAACGCCAAAAATTCTGCTCCGGCCAGATTCTGGCTGGTTGTGTTTGTACAGCCGTATTTCCTGATTTACCATTACAAGGCTGGTAGAGGCAATATTAGCAGAAGTCTATTTTATTCCCAGTAAGTTCATTGGAAGTTTCACTTTTAAAACATAAAAGGACCTCATTGTTTCAATTATTTGAATGCTTTTTTAGTGAGGATAAGCGAAGGCTTCACAACTCCGTCCAGTTTAAAATGTTATTTTTCCAGCTTTGCGCACAAGTTGCATACAGAAGGCCTTTCAACAACAATAGAACTGACCAAAACAGACGTGGAATAATAATTACACAAAGAGCATTTGAGAAGAGGTTCAAAAAGCAACGAGAGGGCAGCCGAATGGGCTGAGACAGGTCGCTTTCCAGTCCTGGCTCAAAGTTTGCCATTCTTTCTACTGCAAAATGCGCAGCCGTTCCAGTTCACGTGTGTGGAGGCAGCTGCCCAAGCCGTACCTTGAAAGAGCACAGGTAACATTTCCCTCCACTCCACGGGGGCACCCCGCTCTTTGCAACACAGAACAAAATACCCAAGAATATGCCTTTACCAGATACCCACAAAGGAAGCGTGCAAGCAAATCGTTCAGGCCTCTCAGTCTCCAAAATAGCCAAATATTTTTAGCAATTTCGAAAAGGCGTTGGGGACTTACCAGGTTTAGGGATGAGTCCTTGGAAAGGTCTGTAAGACAAAAGAACAGTCTGTGGGTCGCGGGACAGAGGGAGGGTTCTGCGAGCTGCCTGCGCGATGCCGTCAAAGCTAAGCGCACGTGGGGCATCTGCTCCGGATTCCTTCCGGCTAAACCAGGCGGAGGCGTGAGTAACACCCGTGCAAAGCCCTGCTTGCCTCCCTGCTGCCTTAAGTGGCTACGGCTTTTCCCCCGTCAGCCTGTGGACAGCTTTGACGCAAGTGAGCCCTGAGTCTGGTTTGCGCTTCCTGAGCACGGAAGGCGCCGTTTGGCACGGATTCCTATCCTGGCTTCCTGCTGGTCACGAAGACGGCCGGGAAGACTGACCAATCTTGGCTGAACCAAGCTCTTGGTGACAGCAAATCAAAATTCGCTCAGGGTCGACTGACGCAGCCCATTGAGAAAATCGGCCCGGGCAGACATGTTTTTCCCACGAGGCACTGCTGCCTCCAATGGGCGTCCGCCTGCAACCAGCTCTCCCAGACCCCCGCCATCCCAAAGAAGTCGGTTCCCCAGGCTGGGCAGCTCTGGAAAGACTCCCGTGGCCGGACTGTGAATTCAGCCTGTTGCTCTAAGCCATGGCTGGGGGACCTTTTCATTCCCTTGTTGCAAACCAGCTTCCTCCATTTTTATCTCATTTAATTCTCTATCGTTTTATCCTACCTTCATTAAGGTTGTTTAAATGGTTTAATATATAGACTATTCAATTTCATGCCCCCCTTCACATCTATCTTATTGTCGGTTTTTATATTTTATCATGAGTTGTTAACTGGATTACGAATTGTTGTGAGCCGCCCAGAGAGCCTTAAGGCTCATAAGGTGACATACAAGTCAAACAACCAACCAAACAAACCAGTCTTCTTCAGCACCATGGGGACTAGAATGTTCCTTTATCAGGCCACAGTTCCGTGGTGCAGAGCACGTTTCGCATTGAAACACCAACAGGGGGCGTTTCTACCATCTCTTGCTAAAGGATCCGAGGCAGTGCCTTGTTACCAAGCCCTTGGGGGTAAATGGAAGCAAACTGGACGGAGTCGCGGCATCCACAGGCTGCGCTGCTTCTTCACGTTCACAGGGCCCCGTGGATGACAGACACCGCAACCCGGCAGGGAACCCTGAAGGGAAATACCTTGTTACCGTGAACTTGATCTTGTCCGCCACGGCTAAGATCCTCTCCAAGTTCTGGGAGCCGAAGGTGCACGGTTTCCGGAAGGGGATTCCTGGGGGCAGCCCCTCAATGATCACCGACCCGGGGTTGCTTTTGATGCGCTTGTATGGCACTTGAACTGGGTACTTGATGCCCAAAGCCTCACCTGAAAGGGAGGCAGTGTGGAGCAGTGGTGAGCGCACCAGCTTGGAGTGCTCAGTTCTTCTCAGCCGCAAAAATGTTGGGAGGGTGAGGCTGAACCGGAGGCAAAGGTTCGCTTGGCTGTCCAGGATTCATCCGGGGCTTGTGCCCGTCTTTCGTCCCCTTCCTCCCGCCCTTCGGTCCACGGCTTGGAAGCCAGTTCCCAGAACACCAAAGGAGAGGCCTGGGCAGAGCTGCCCCTGCAGAAAACCTGGAAAAGCTGCTCCTTCCTATAGGAGGAGAACCCAAAGGAATTGGACTGCTCTCTTCTTGCATCCCGGTCCTCAGCCAGTTCTACTGGAGCCACAGAGAACCTACAGTCGGCAACACAGACCTGGCTACAATCTAGCGCATCCCATAATAGGCTCCAGTCCTTCGCTAGAACAGCAAGCCAGTCTGCTGCTCTTGGGCAGCTGTCTCCACCATGCCTGTATCTGGCTTCTCTCTCTGAACTGCTGCCCCACTTTGGGTTCAGCCTGTAAGAAGACAGATTGGCCCCAGGACAGTTGGTTGGAGCAAACCACAGTTTCTTGTTATACCTGACTAGGCTAAACCATGGCTTGCCTTCAAACCATCATTCCCAATTCTAGTTTCTGTGCAACCAGAGATTGCCGGATTTGGGCATAACAGCAAACCAGGAAAGAAAGGTGTGGAAGTGCAAAAAGAAAGAAGTGGGAGATGGAAGACTATTTTTTTTGTTTGTTTCCGATCCACCACAACCTGGTTTGGAGGACTCTTCTGAAATTAATCACTGCTGCCATGGCTGAGGTTGGAGACAGGCGATCGTTTTTTTTTTAAAGACCTGAAAGTGGCTTGACAGATGCAAATACTAAATGTCTTACAAAACAAAGAGGTAGAAAAAAGCAACAGGACACAGCACTCTAAAATTCCCTTCAAAACTACTGATTTTTCTCACCCTGTCCTGCCTCACCAGGCTGTTGTGAAGGTCAGATAAGCTGACCCTGCGCACACCACTTTGGCTTAAACATCCAGTTCACATATCAGTGGGACCCACTAATAAACTCTGGAAACCGCCTGCTAGAGCAGTGAAGTGGGAGTTGTAACCCTCCAGATGTCCTGGATGCCAAGTCTCATCAGCCCAGACCAGCATGGCTAAAGGTGAGGGATGATGGGAGTTATGGTCCAACATCTGGAAAGCCAAAGTTTCTCCAACTGAGCCTTAGAGATTCGACCGAGAAATAGTTTAGCACTCACCATACTTCTTATTGAAAAGATCTTGAACCTGTTCCCTCAATGTGTTTGCAATATCTATTCTTGAAAGCCGAGTATCATAATTTTCTGTTAAGAAAGAGAGAGGAGAGTGCAGCTTGTGAAACAGGCAGGAAAAATAAAAGCGCCTGTCTGGTTTCAATCTGGGTGCTTTGATAAGCATGGGACTGCAGAGTTCAGGGTTCTAGTCCTCATATGGCCATAAAACTCACTGGGTGACTCTGGGCTAGTCTCTGGCTTTTAAAATGAGGCCTGGCCTGCCTCACAGGGTTGTTGTTAAGATACAGTGGAGAAAAGAAAGATCCTATGTCTTGGTTGCATGCAAAAGGGAAAAAGCCTGGATAAAAATGTATTGATGGATTTATTTATTTATTTATTGGTATGTGTGAATGCACACACGCAAAATCGATCGTTTCATTTCTTCTATCTATCTATCTCTCTGTCTCCTGACTCAGCTCGGGTGTAGCTGATTCCAGCCCCCAAATAAAGGGCAGAACAGCATTTGGAAACAACGACACACAATTTAAAAACATTTTAACAGATTTCTTTATTTTGAGAAATGGTGCCAACAAACATCCTTTTAGCTGGAATCCTAAACCAGGCAAACGATGCTTTGCCTACAAGGAAAGTCATTTATTTATTTATTTATTTAAAGCTTTTATATGCCGTCCTATTATATAAATATCTCAGGACACTTTAAAAGGACAATTTAAAACAACAACTTTGAAAAAATGAATTAAAACAGTAGTAATGTATAAAAAAATCAACACTAAATCACAAAACAAGAGCAACTAAAGATTAAACGCTATTGATTTTAAAATGCTGTTTAAATAAAAAGGTTTTGGCCTGGCACCGAAAAGAATATAAGCTCGGTGCCAGGCATACCTCTCTGGGGGGTGTATTCCAGAGTCTGGGCGCCACCACAGAGAAGGCCCTGCTCTGAGTTGATGACCTTTTTGCCTCTTTTAGGGAAGGTTCCCAGAGCTACAGGAACTACAGGTGGCAGGTAAAGTCTGACATGCACAAGTCCTTCTTTACTCTCTCAGGACAGCACAAGAAACTGCTTTGCTCAGCCAGGAAATTCAGAAAGTCTCCCTTCCAGACACGCACCGCTTGCTAAGTGTTCAGCTTTTCAAACGAGGCCTTCGGGGCCATCTTTGCAAGACTAGGAAGCTCTCCTGGGACTTTCTTACAAGTAAACATACACCAACTCGACTACAAAGTACATCAGCAATGGAGAACCCCTTGCCCAAGCTGTCCAGCAGCAAAAAAAGCCCCCCAAAAAGCATACATCACATAACCAGCTCTAAAACAGGCAGGCTGGAGGTGTGAGGACGGCCAGCTCCAGTCTCACCTTGAAATCCCGGTCTTTTTACAGTTTCTTCCACAAGACATTCATTGGAGTCTCTTTCACTGCCTGCCAACAAAAGAGAAAGTTCTTTATTTCTTTTCTAGCTTGTTTCAAAATCTACCTGGATCACACCACATTGATTGATTTATTCTAAAATAAATCAAAGAGCAATTCCCCTCCATGACCACATCTACCCATAGTAAACACCACCCTGTTTTTAATTATCAAATATTAAATGATTATTAAATAAGTATTTAGTATTTATTAATCATTATTAGTAATAATAAAAATAATACATAAATAAATTATTTGATTATTAACAATTATTCTGTTAGCCTTAATTATTAAGGCTAACAGAACTTCCCAGCCTTAGCTTCCCATTTGCAAAATAGAAATAAATGCATATATTTCATACGGTCCTCACAAAACTAAATGAACTCAGGTTGGTAACTTTACTGATTTGTACATACAATCGACTGCAGCACGATTGTAAGCAAACAGTTAGTTCCCTGCCCCAAGGAGCATGCAAGCTAGACACAGACACTCAGAGAGAGACTCCAGCATGAAAAGGCTGAATTACACCCAGGCAGGAATTTTAATTTCATCACGTGTGGCCCATATAAAGGTGCCATAAAAAGCGGGGGCTGCTGCATGCATGACTCTTCCCCTGCAAGAATGTGTGCGGTGCCTTTAGCAATGCTTTGTGAACGGCTACTGAAATGATTTCATTTACGTTCATGCTCCAACACAATTATCTTAGCCTTGCATGCATTTCACCCTGACTTCACGGAAAACGCTTTGCCCTGCGGGGATGTGTGCGTATTCCCGCCAACTCGGTATTTACCGATTGTTCCTGAGCTCTCCGAGGTTGTCTCCTTCGCTCCTTCGGTGAGCAGCTCTGGTCTGAAAAAGAAGTTGCGATAATAATGGGAGGGAGGGAGGGGGCGTCGGCTGTGCTGGGCCGCAGGGTCTCGCAGCTCAGCACCGCACGCAGGCTGGATGCCGTCCCGGCGGGACTTCAGCTCGGACTCGCTCGGCTCCATCCCTTGCCCCTCACCACCTCTTCGGGTGCACCGGAAGATGGCATTTTGCCCCGGCACTCGGCCAAAACACGTGTGGCCGCCCCCCGCCCCCCACAAGACTCCTGTATCTCTAGGGTGGGGATGCAAAGATCGGGCCTGAATCCAGCTTTCCTTTGCTTGCTGGATTTCATTCCCGTGCTCCATCCTCAGCCAGAGGAAGCCAAGCCACGATCGAGGCTGCAAATGTTTGGGAATGCCAGCAGCTTCTTAGCACAAAGTACAGTGTTACCTCGGCTCATGAAGGTCTCATTTTATCTATCTATCTATCTATCTATCGATTTATATCCTGCCTTTTTCCTACAAAGGGCTCAAGGCAGCTTACATCATCTCTCCTCCTCCATCTTATCCCCACAACAACAACCCTGTGAGGTAGGTTGGGCTGAGGGTCTGTGACTGGCCCAAAGTCACCCAGCTGGCTCCACGGCTGCGCAGGGACTCGAACCCAGATCCTCTGAGTCCCAGTCCCATGCTCTTCACCACGACACCACACTGGCTCTCAGAAAAACAGGGTCGCAAACAGAAATTTCAGAAAAATTGTGCCTCAGGTCGCAAGCTCCGCATTGGGTGACGATCGTGATCGCGCCCGTCTTCCTTGCACGGGTGTGATCGCGGTCGTGCTGGGGGGGCGGGGGGGGCTGTGACTTTTGGTGTTCTTTGTCACTTCACTTCAAATTTTTGTGATTAAAAAAATAGTTACCGAACGGATTAACCTTATTTACACTGAACCTTATGGGGAAATTTGACTTGGCTCACGAGCAATTTGGGTCGCAACCAGAGTTGTGGAACAGATTAAGTTTGTGAGCCGAGGCAGCACTATACACAATTCTTCGCACAAAGGACACAGAATGCACAAGGCACGTGTGTGGAAGTAGAACTCTGCTCATGCTCTAGGCATGCAAGTGCCTGGTGGGCAAGCAGGACCCACACATGCATTTGAACCCGCTTCCCTCGCAAATGCGTGGTCCAAGGGGAACTCGGGGCAAAGAGAAAGTAGACCAGGGTTCAGGGAGTCACGCTGAGAAATTCCGACAGCACAGCTAAACTCTGCAACATTTAAAGGAAGCATATCCTGGCTACCTGAACGAGCACTTACGTCCGTATATGCCCGACCGCCCCTTGAGATCTGCGGGAGAGGCCCTTCTCCGGGAACCCTCCATGAAAGAAATTAGGAGAGTAAGTACTCGGAGGAGGGCTTTCTCTGCGGTGGTGCCCAACCTATGGAATTCACTCCCCAAAGAGGTCCGCCTGGCACCGTCATTACTGGTTTTTCGGCGCCAGGTAAAGACCTTTTTATTTAAACATCATTTTAATTGTTAAAACATATGATCTGGCCAGGGCAACTTCTTCTTCCTTCTCTTTTCTCCTCCTATATTATTTATTTACTTATTTTATACTGATAATTTTAATTTTATATTATTATGTTTGTAACTCAGTGTATTTTTTGTATTTTTGTATTTAATGGTAATTTATTATGTTCTATTGTATTTCAATGCATTTTATTGTGTTGGAAGCCGCCCCGAGGCTTCGGCAAGGGGCGGCATAGAAATGTAATAATAATAATAATAATAATAATAATAATAATAATAATAATAATAATAATGCAAAATACTTAGCATATATAGGCGCAAATCTGACGGTTACCGCCTCTCAGTTCTCCAAATCCAGGAACGGTCCGTGCAAAACAGGACTGAATTTTGCAGACAGAGAGAATGCCAGTTCCCCGCACTGGCACCGGAGGGCCGGAAGGCACAATCCTGCTTCCCACCCTTTGCGGAGCGAAGAGATGCCAACTGCGGCACAGCATCGGGTCTTACCTCTTGATCACAAACCGGATGCTGCTGCTAGCTTGGAGAATCTTTTTAAGCTTTGCGATCCCAAAGCAGTTTGGCCGTCTGAGCAAAATGCCGTCTGGCAAACCCACCACGAAGAGGTCCTCTGGGTACATCAAGAATTTGGAATACGGGACCTTGACAGGCCCCGAAATCCCTATGGCTTTAGCTGCAAAAAGAAGCACTTGACTTCACAAAAGACTCTTGGCCTGAGCCTCTGGGACAAGCACACAGCGGAAGCTCAGATACTAAAACATCATAAAGGATGTCAAACACCTTGTAAGTCAGGGTCACGAGAGCGCCAACACGCAAAATGCTCTGTGTCTGAGTGAAAAAGTTTCATTCTCATAAGCTACAGCTGCAATATCAACCAAGTGATGTTTTCTGCAGTGTTCTTCGTTAGCTCAGTATTTAAGCCGAGCCTCCGGGTCCCTTCAAAGCTGCAGTGACAGTGTTACAAGAAAAAGCACCGTCTACTTAGCCCAGCAAGTCCGCCACTTTGTGGGTGCAAAACCGAGGGAAAAGGATCCGGGCAGGGCAAGCCAGTTAGCCTCAGAGGTGAGGATCAGAGATCTGTCCAAACGGGAAAGGTGAAATGCAACCCCTGGAGTGACAGCAAACTTCCTTCTCACAAGCTGCTTGTGGAGAAATCACAAACCAAAGCAAAAGCAAACCAAAAGAACTGAAGAAAAGCCCTGCTGGATCAGGGCGATTCAGTCCCGTTTCCTGTTCCTACAATGACTGACAGCCTAAGGGAAGCCCCACCTGCATCCCCATGTTCCCCAGCCACCGGTGCGCATCATGTTTCTGCCTGTGATACCGGAGGGAGCAGAGGGCCGTCGGGGCTGGCGACCACACGGGGCCTTCCACTCCAGGAGGGTTTCCCATCAGCCTTGAAAGCGGTCCAAAGCAGTGGCCGCCCCTCCGTCTTGTGGAGCATAAAGAGGGCGCCAGGCGAATCTCCTGGGGGGAGCATTCCAAACAGGGGGGGCAGATGCAGAAAAGGCCCCTTCCTCACAGCCACCCCCTCACCTCCCTAGGGGGTGGCTCACACAGGAGGGCCCCCTGCTTAGATCTCCAAGGCTGGGCAGGGACGTATCCCACCTTAGTACTTATTTATTTAGAGTTTTCGTATGCCGCCCCATTGCTTGACGCCTCGGGACGGCTTACATAAATAAGCAAGAACTAAGATACTAAGTAAGTAAGGTGACTTACTAGCTCCATTTTATCCTCAAAAGAAACACCCTGTAAGGTAGGTCAGGCTGAGAGTCCGTGACCAAAGCCAGGGGAGACTCGAGCTCACATCTCCAGTGGCATTCCGGGAAGAACCAGCAGTGACGTGTCCCTTCAGACCACTCTGGGGTCCTTTGCACCCTTTCCGCAGCCCTCGCCCCTCCAAACTTGTCACGACTCCAGCAAAGTGCTGCTAAATGCCAGCTGGGCCCAGCGGCAGCCGGGGAAAAGCTGCATGTCCTCGTCCAAGGAGGGCTCATGGGGAATCCGTGCCTCGCCTCAATGCCACACGGGATTCCCGCAAACTCTCCCGGTGGGTGAAAGTATATTAAAACTGGCGCATTCTCCCACATGCTCCTTCTTTAAAGGGAAAATGCGGCTCAGGGACTGCTGAAACTTGTCAGGGGGTGGGAGAAACCAGCCCTGACCCCCACCTCCATCAATAGATATTGTGGACTTAGTCCAAATATTTTGGACTTAGACCTGTGATAGTCTAGTGCAGGGTTGTTTTTATTTAAGAAATAGCCGCGGGGCTGGAAGGAGGCCTCTGTTTCTGCTGTGCCATGCAGGGTGAAGGAGTACTCTATGCCATGTGCTGTTCCCCCCAAAGCCCCCTCCCCACCTCAATCCACTTGCTCCCGGAGGGTTCTGACAAATGGACCCTTAACGAGGGCTTTATAAGCGGGGGAAACGGCACAGGCGGGGAACACGAGAAGGGTCAGTCCTGGAGTCCCCATCCGGAAGGCCGAGCAAATCACACGGCAGCATCTCGTGCCGGGGTCCTGTGCTTTCCGGTAGTTTGCAAGAATTCCTTGCCCCCAGGCAACTGGCCGCTCTGCTCTCAGCCAGGTTGGCCCCAAGCACCTGCAGGCCTTTTCCTGCCCGGTCCAAACAGCAGGGCCAAATGCAGGCTGCCCACAGACTCGGAGAACTGGGAAGATCATCCAGTCCAACGCGCTTCCTAGTGCGGAATCTGCAGGCCAGCATCCACCCCGTGCTTAAGTACCCCAGGTGGTCAACCCCAAAACAAGCCCCCAAAACAAGAAACCTGCAAAGCTCAGAGCAGAAAGAAATCCTAGAAAGGTGGTGCAGGGAGGGAGGGAACCTATAAAATAAGAAACTCACCGTATCTTGCATTGAACAAAATTTCCACTTGTTTCCTCAAGTGACTTAAAACGTCACCTATGCCATCTGGAAAACAAAAGCCACAAGCCCACGGATGAGAACCAAAACCACAATTGTGTTTCTGATCACAGCATTGATGTGTCTCCCTTGAATACAGATTATTTTTAGGACTGGGTTTAAATAACACAGGCGAAAACAACCACGGCGTTTTTAAAACGAAGGGCAAGAATCTATAGGAAGTGGCACAGATGAAACGCGGAGACTGGACAGGCCTTGAGAAATGAAAAAGAGAAGCGCTGGGAGAATTTAATCCTGGCACATTCCTGGCACCATGACCTGTCGGATTAACATGCGGGATGGAGCTCTTTGACAGCTTCTCCCGATGGATCTTAATGCTGAATTAAACAGGGATTTGGGGGGAACGAAAAGAAACCAGCAGAACAATGCAGAGAGAGAATGGAAATGTCCCCCTGTTTTGGGGGAGAGTATCTCAACGGCAGGGTGCCAAAACCATAAAGGCCCTGACATTGGTCTTTGTCACTGTCACTGGTTACCAGTTGAAGTCTGGGCCCACTTTAAAGTGCTCACCTTAACATATACAGCCCTAAATGGCTTAGGGCCCGGATATCTAGATAAATGTCTCCTCCCATATACACCTACCCAGACCCGAAAGTCACCTATGGAGGTCCTTCTGTGGGAGCCCACCTTTAGGCGACCACAAGAGGAAGGGTCTTCTTGGGTGTGGCACCCCAACTCTGGAACCAGTTTCTTCGGGAGGTGCATCTGATGCCAACTATTTATATATTTTGGTGCCAGGACAAACCCTTTTTATTTTCCTGGTACTATAATTGCTAAATAATATTTGATTTAATAGTGGGTTTTCTTCATATTGGCACTGGAATATTGTGAATTTAATATTGTTTTTGTGTTATTTATTATTATTAATTTGTTATGGATGTTTGCGATGCTATATTTTGATGGATGTTCTAGATGTTCTATTGACATCAATGTTTGTGTATTATGCTATCTCTCGTGTGGTTTATCCTTCCTATACACTGTTCTGAGAGCTTTTTGTTAATTGAATGGTTTATAAAAGCCAACAATAAATAAACAGGCCACAGCACCCAAAAGAGGTATCGTGCCTTATCTGAAAGACAACAGTCCTCTTTTTTTGGAAGGGCTACCCAGTTAAGACCAGTTTAAAAGACCATCAGGCGGGATTGCAGGCAGGGTCCTGAGTCTGCTCATCCGCTTGGCACCCAGACCGCAAACAGACCGAGTAGATACATAACGCACCTGGTCTGCCCTTCCACACCATGACAAGATGTCTGCATTTCTCTTTGCTTTACGGCAATTATTTCAGCTGTTTGCAGCTGCGGATACGAATGAGCACATGCATTCATTTTATTGGCTTGGACTGGACTACTATAACATGCTCTCCGTGGGGCTGCCCTTGAAGATGGTCCAGATACTTCAATCGGTTCAGAACAGAGCAGCCGGATATGCAAATATAACACCAGTTCTGCACCACCTGCACTGGCTTCCAAGTGAAGTCCGGGCCCAATTTAAGGTGCTAGTGATGACATGCAAGCCCTAAACGGCTTAGGACCTGGATATTTGAAAGAGTGCCTCCTTCAATATATACCTACCCAGCCTCTAAGCTCTGGATTGCAGGTCCTTCTTCGGAGCCCTCTTTGAAGGAGCTCAGGAGGGAGGCTACCCAGAGAAGGGCCTTCTTGGTGGTGCGCCCTGGCTATGGAATTGGCTCTCCAAAAGGGTGTGCCTGGCGCTGATGCTGTCTTCATTTCAGCGCCAGGCCAAACCCTTTTTATTTTCCCAGCATTTAAAAAGTGCGTGTTGCTTTTAATATTGCTTTTATATATTATTCTGATACTACGTCTTATTTATTTATGTTATCACTGGCCAGAGACACTGTTAAGGGCGGGATGCAAACTTTTTAAATAAATACATGCATACCTAAATTTAGTGTATGGCTTGTCATACATAGACTTGTGATATATACTAGCATTTGAACTGGCTTAAAAACACATTTAAAATATAAATGCTAAAAAGATCTCTATTCAAACGTCAATGTCTAGGCCATCCAGCCACTGAAGCACAGCGCTGTTTAAGGAAAACCTCTGGGCTGTGCATGTCCGCAGTTTACAGCCAGTCACAATACAGTGCAGAGTCTGATGTGGGTGGGAACTGTAGCGCATTTATGCAGCGAGGCCTGGCAGACACCGTGTGTGGTGCAACTCCTGTCCAGAGTTGTCTGACACTGGCCGGGTAAGTCAAACCCTGGCACCTTTCGCATGGGAGCATCTGAATGCCTACCAGTCTCTGGTCCATTTAGCTTTACACTGGGACGCTATTATACAGGCGAATAAGGAAGGCGAGCAATGCAACCCTGTCGCCTCCTCTTTCTGGCGATGCGCAAGCGTTCCCGCGGGCAACCGAATCGACTCACCCTTGCCCTCCATCTGCTTCTCGTCGTGCTGCGAATCGTTGCCAGGTCCCTTATCTGAAACCGGAAAGAGGGCGAAGATGGAGCAGGAATTTTATCTGTTCTTGGCGCACCCTGCTCAGGAAGCGTCCTGGGGAAGTGGGGCGCTGCAGGAGCCCACGAAAGGGATTGCTCTGCTGGCTCTGTGAGGCCTGGGAAAGTGGGCATTGCTCCGTTCGGTCCCTCCACCTGCGTGGCGTCTGGACTTGAACGGCCCGAATGCCCCAGGCAACAAGGGCCTGGCTGGGCAGATGTTGTGCAAGGGATCTCTCTTGTGTGGAGAATCTACTAGATCCCCTTCTTCCAGCTTCCCAGAGTCCGACTTCCTGGCAAGTGTTCCCATAGTACACGGGCCACTGGCAGGAATTCGCTTGCGGCAGCAAATGGGGAAGAAGCGTGGCCACTGGGGATGCTGGCCAGCCAGTCCGCTCACTGCCTCCCCCACGGTGGGTGCTGCAGCCGGTCGAGAGCTTGGAGGGCCAGGCTGGGCACCAGAGGGAGCTTGTGAACGCTTGGAGGGAGGGATTCTGGCGCTCTCAGGCTAACAACGAGCCCAATCCTGACAGCATCCTTAGGGGGTTTGACCTGCGCTACCTGGAACGGTGATTTGAATAATGTCCACTTCATCGGGTTCTATTTTGATGCGTTTAATTCCTCCCAATTCTCCTGAGGTTCCTGCCAAGGAAAGGGGACAAGGCAATGAGAAAAAGGGAATAGATGGGGGGGGGGGATTTGGGGGAGGCACAGGAAGGCATGAGCCCATTCATCCTTCAAACAGCTGCTCCCCAGGATTCCCATACAGAAAAATTTCCCAACCCTGCAAAGAGACACCAAGGGCTGAAACCAGGACCTTCTGTGTGCAAAGCGGGAGTTCCATGCTTCTAGTCCTCATGGCTTTGCTCAAAGGGTGGTTTAAACAAAAACTTAGGAAGCTGTCCTAAATGGAAATGACCATTCAGCTCTACACAAATATAAATGAGCCCAGTCATGCTCTTGGCCAATACCAGGGATTTCTGGCTTACCTGGTTCACAGTCCCCCGAGGCGAGGCACTTTTCAGACCTATCAAAGGAAAGCAGCATCACTGTATTTTATTTGTAAAGCGCTTTTGCACACAGTGCTGCCTAATCAAACAGGTGAGAGGACTGTAACTTGAGTTCTGGATTCTAGTCTCTTTCTTTCTTTCTTTCTTTCTTTCTTTCTTTCTTTCTTTCTTTCT